CCGCGCTAGTATTCAACACTTTGTGTACCGAACTGATTATATGTTACTGGACTATGTTATTTGGATTATCCCTTAACTGAAAGACATTGATGACTGTCTTATCCGTGTATGACTTGGACTGTTTGATGGACTCTGATACCTCTATTTCCCACGAAAGTAAAAGCCTATTTAAACTGCAGTGTCTCTGTATGCTGGTTTGTGTGTTCTCCAACACAACTCTCACAACTCGCTCTCCCAACGGGGAGCTTATCTAACACTCCATTACTGATAGAGAATTTGAGAATTCTCTCATAGGAATTCAATCTTTTGGTGAAAGACATTATATAAACAGTTGAAGAAGACAAAATGAAAATTGATGAACCCAAATATTGTATGCCAAGTCCACAGAACCTTATATATTTTCAGATAAGATTTCAGCAATTTAGGAACATACAAAAATATGTCTGTTTTGCCAGGTATTTTAAATTGATGATGAAATGAAATAAGAAAAAAATTCTTTGTTTATCAAATATCAATCCTGTCCATCATACTTGCATGACTCTGGGTATTAACAAACAAAACAGTAAAATCATATAAAAGCCATAGTTAAAAACATAATTAAAAACCATATTAAACCAAACATTTTTAACAACTGCGAAGTTAAAAGGCAGAGGGAGCACCTTCAATCCACCAACCACCCCCAGGGTTGCATGAACCTCTTAGATCCTCTGGCCATTTGGTAAAGCTAGATTTTAATGTTCTTCTAGAAGGCCAGGAGAGTGTGGACCGGCCACTGGGGCAAGCTGTTCCATAAGGTGGGGACAACAGCAGGGAAAACTCCCTTCCTAGACCACACCAGTCAAAGTTCTTTAACCAATGGGGTTATATTTGATTAAATATTATTTTATTCTTAATTAAAATTAATATATTAGTTATTATAAATGAAGGTATGATTTATTAGGCATTTATGAGTCACAGCAAACCTGTTTATGATTTATCAGGCTCCTAGTTAACCTTAAGGTTAATTACATGCAAAGTAGCTTAATTAGCAAAATATGTTGCATGATTGAAGAAAATGATTTCAACTCTCTCCAAAACTTAGTCCACATATTGGCAACGGCATGAAATTTATTCTGGTGACATTAAACAATGTATGGGAGAGAACAGGTTTTCTTTCAGATTTCTTTTTTCTTTTTAACATTTGTTTAAATTACCTGAACTGGGACTTTGTTTATGCACATACAGGATACTGCAGGAGCTATAAAAAAAAAATCTAACAACTGAAGTACGATTTCTTTCTATTATCTTACCTGGTAATTATGGTCTACTGGTTCAACCACAGGACGTCCAATGCGCTTGAGCATGACGGTGTAGCAGAAGCAAATAGTGAGAAGTGGCAATAGATAAACACCCAGGAAAGTGTAGAGGATAAAGCTGCGCTCCTGGCTCTTGCTTGTGAAAGCTTCAATGCAGTAGGTACGTAGACCATACCAGTAGCCATTTTCAGTACGATGATAGATAGCCATGGGCAAGGAGAGAATGAAGGAACCTGGAGGTCATAGAGACAGAACTCACAATCTTTGGATGAGAACTTTAAATCCTTGAATTTATAAAACAAGCTCTACAGAGACTTGAGAAAAACTAGGATAATGATCCTATATCTTGGAAAGGAGAACAGTGGATGGGATGGATGGATGCTTAGATATGTGGGTGAATATGGTTGCTGATTTACTAATAGAGATAAAAATTAGTCCTTGCAGTTTTCTTGGCAAGATTTAAAAAATAGTTTGTCATGATTCTTCCTAGTGTTCAGAGAACGTGACTGGCTGGAGGTCACCTGCTGGCTAAGTAGGCCTAGAACTCATAGTTGCCTGGTTCCTAGCCTGGTGCCTTAACCACTACACCACACTGGCTCTCATATATAATAAAGGTAATGGAGAATATTTTTGAAAATGGTGTTCAAAGCAGACCGAAGGATGAAAAGAGAGGAAACTGAAACATGACCATGTTCAAAAATCCATCAAATGTTTATCTTTGCCATGACAGTCAAACCACTTGAAGTTTAAACAATCTAAAGATAATGGTTATCAAAGATTATTTTAAGCTTACACACAGTACTATTAGTTAAAGTAATATTTATTAAATTATTTTCATATAGTAAAAGTTTGAGGATTGATTAAAACATCTGAAACTTCATGAAGGGGTTGATGAACTGAAAGGCTTGGAGACCGCTGATTTACAGAAAATTAGGTGGATAGGTCAGCAAAAGGTAAGTCTTAGATTCTGATGTCAAAAGATGATGATTTATTAAACTTATATGCGGTCCAACTTGCAATGAGACTGGAAGATTAGTCATTTGAAGTGAAATAATGGCTTCAAAAGTTAGGATATTTGACTCATCTTGATTTATATTCATGCTGCTTATTTTACACACACACACGCACACACACACGCACACGCACGCACACACATGTATTTCAAAGTAATAGTAACACTTTTTACATTTCCTTTTCTTCTAACCTCACTTCTTAATTAAATAAGCAACTCCAGAGATTATCATTATTATACGAATCCCAAAGAGAGTCTGGATGTGTCAAACATGGGTTTGGTCCCCCTTCCACCTCAAGCTAATAGCCTCCTCTTTTTCCAGAGGTATAAGTGCTCATAGATTTTGCAGACACCCCCCCCCCCACTTACCAATCCAAATAGCAAAGCTGATGGACATGGCTACCTGGGGAGTTCGATAACGCAATGACTGCAGTGGGTACAGTGTAGCATAGCAGCGGTCCACACTCATAGCCATCAGAGTAATGCAGGTGGCCTGGACAGTCACCTGGTGAGAAGACAAAGCATGTGGTGAAGACACCGAAATCTAAATTCACCTTTCAGCTGCTTGTGCATCTCCTTTTCCTCTTTAAAGTGAGAACAGCACTATTTGCATTCAGGGTGAATAGTTTATAGTCCCTGCAGATCTATAATATCTTAGGAAGGGTGTTGGGAAAATGTAAACACTCTGCAGGTTGCCTGTCCTAGCATATACCTATGTTCTTGGCACCATACACAGAAATTAAATTAAAATTTATGCACTTCATATCGTCAATTTTACACGTTGGAGATTAAAATAAAATTATAGATAAGGTAGATAATAACATTATAATATAGATAATTCAAGCTCACCTGCTGTAAATAGTTGACAAATTTGCACATAAAGTCGCCAAACACCCAGCTGGGCAAGGGATAGAGAGTGGCAGTGAAAGGAACACAGCACACTAAGAATATGATGTCAGTGGTAGCCAAATTTGCTGTGAAAGACACAAATAAGAGACTGGATGCTTTTGAAATGTGGATTTACAGATGGCTGTTTAGTATAAGCTGGGTTGAAAAATCAGAAATGAGGACGTGATAAGCAAAGGGTACATCATCAAAACTGATCATCAAGTTAGAATATTTTGGACATGTGATGCAACACTTAGAAAAATACACCATACTTCACTTAATCCTCCAGGAAAAGATTGAAAGCAAGCAAGGTCCAGGCAGAAGAAGAACATCATGGCTTCAAAATCTAAGGGACTTATTTGGACAAAACTCAACAGCACTTTTTTGTGCAACTATTGATAAAAATAGCATCGCCAACATGATTGCCAATGTCCGATGACAGATATGGCACAAGAAGACGAAGGTAGACAAACTTGCTGTGAAAGACACAAAGTTGAGATCAGCTTTGGCATAAGGTTAGCTGAGACAAGTAATGTCGACCAGCTTCCCTGATCCAAGTCTTAAAGTTCTGTCTAACACAGGGGGTTCCCAATATGGAGCCCCCGCCCCACACATAGGCAATTTGATTTTTAATGGGGGCAATTTGAACCTTGTTTAAACCAGGCTTTAGGCTTCCTCCACTTGGGTAGAGTTCACTTTAGAATTATATGTCACGCGGGGTGGGGGCATCCGGATTTCAGAGATGCTTAGGTGGGGCATGGCCAAAAAAGGTTGGAAACCACTGGTCTAACACGATGGATTCCTATTTGTCTGGGCCTCAAGAGAAAAAGTGCTGTAGAGATCACACTAACCCATATGTCCCTCCTCCTGACTTCTATTGTTGTTGGTTCCTGTTCTCCACCAGATTTTGAAATGCAGCACTTCACCCCTCATTTTGGAATTATCAGTGCCTTAATATTCCAGAAGAAAGGGGCATCTGATTAAGTATTCTTGCTGAATATCCAGCCTAGAAAGTTTCCTTTTAACATTTATTTATCTTTGTCTATTTCTTGCATTTTATTTTCATCTCCTTATCAATACATGTCTAAGGTGGTTTAAAGTCATTTTAGAAGTTCTGGGGTTAAGATATTTGCTTTTCCCCTTTAAGTACATAGCTGGTCGTGGCAGTTTTTCCTCTGAGTGAGACATGGTGTGCTTCGTCAACTACCGGTATTTGGTTGATGGTATGATCCAGGGGACCCCAAGTGGGTGAGATCAGCACTGCATCGCTAGACTACCAGTTGATATGGGAAATATCATTCCATCACCTCCAGTCAATTGATATAGACCTTCAAGGCCATTCAGCTTTGAGCAATGAGAAAGTTCAAATCTTTCTCATTCAAACCCCCATTTGGATCAGCTTGAGTAGTCAGTGCCCAAGGGATTGGAAGGAGAAAGAGTATAGAAAGAGTGTTCTTTTTCTGCTGCTTCATGGCATATGTCTCCTTATCCAATCACCTGCTTTCAGGCTGCTTTGGAGTATGGATTACCCACTCTGAGGGGATGGGAGGAGAAGAAGAGGGAAACGGCTCTTGACCTGACAGACAGTGGTGGATATCAAACATTTTTAGAACTACTTCTGTAGGTGTGTCATGGCTTGCTGGCCATGTGACTGGGTGGGAGTGGCTTGCCAGCCATGTGATTAAGTGGGAGTGGCTTGGCAGTCATGTGACTGGGTGGGCGTGGCCAACTTGTCAAATGTGGTGAAATTCACTTAACAATGCTCTTGCTTAGCAACAAAAATGTTGGCTCAGAAACCAGGAGACTATGAGTTCTAGGCCAGTCTTTGGAAAGCTGCCTAGGTAACTTTGGACCAGTCTCTCTCAGCCCATACCAGTGGTGGGTTTCAAATTTTTTTAGAACCTCTTCTGTAGGTGTGGCCTGCTTT